TGTCTAATATGTTCTTTTATCTTTCTACTTCTTTCTATGAGTACCGATCAATACATTTTCTGTTACTTTATTAAAATATACAACTTTCACCAGTTTGTGGTTTTCCGCAGTCTCCAGTAGGACTGCCTCGGTTGTTTTCCTTGATATTCTGTGTATTTCTCTCAAAAACCGCGTCTACGCTGTTTCTATGTGTTTCAATGTGTTTCTATGTGTTTCTATGTGTTTCTCAGCGTATCTGCATTATCTCTTTCTCACGTACATAAAACAGTGTATGTCTCTTTCTGACATTCAATGAAAGTGATTTAAAAATAAAAATGCATAATACAGTTTAAGCTAGTAACTTTGCTGTAGATAAGCGGTCTCAAGATTTGAACTTATCTGAGCCGTTGATTTATCAGGTAGACGCTTCTTTACGTCAATGTCTGTTCTGTGGATACTTACTACCGCCGCAACCGTATACCTGTGCTCAAGGTCGGGCAAGTCGTTGTTTGGATTTGAGTTTAAAAAATATGTCAACAAACACGGTATCATTTTACCTATGTTTTTTACTTTTATATTTTCGTTCTCTTCTTCTTTTTACTGTTCACCGGTTGTAAACTCCGAATCAAAATTAAGTTTGTTCGTCTACTTCTTGACGCTGGTCTCATTTGACAGTTTTGCGTGTACATCTGTTTGACAGCCGTGGCTTATTTGTGTGCAAACTGTTATTTCCTCACCTCTCCGGCAGTGACAGATGTGGCTTATTTACGGCTGAGAACCTGTGTCTAAGATGACCTCGGAGAGGTGTAGATAGGGCTGCTTCCCCAGTATGAGCCTGGTTGTAATGCATCATCATCATCCTCATGTGTTCCAAAATCTCTTTATCCCGCTGGCCTATCCGAGCCTCTACTCTCGTGCCCAGCCTTGAGCAAACCAGGTCATGGTTGATTTCACGGTGGATGGGCACACCGCTCTCGTCGTTTTCCGACGGTGGTACAAGAGTTGCCCGACTATGGTACAAGAGTTGACCGACAGTGTTAAAAAAGTTGCCTGAAAATTGTACAAGAGTTGCCCGACGATGGTACAAGAGTTGTACCGTGTAAGAGACTGGAACCTGACCATGTCATATTCGCAAAGTCAACAGTGGAACACTGTAGCCAACCATCTTTGTGAAGACGGCGCTAATGTTCTTTATCATGACCAGTTAAATGTGGCACCGAAAACAAATAAGATTGCGGTAGACATTCTTGAAGAAATTCTTTAAAGTATCCTCTTACGACATGCATGATAAGTTAATGTTAATTTTCTTCGCTTCCATTATAATACCCAATAACAGATTGACAACTGTAGGTCATACCGTATCACAGCGGTTCCCAAATTGCTAACACCAGCAGGGTACTCTTATTTGAGAAGATCGGCCACTGATTCGCTGAAAGAACCAACACGCGGCAAACTGCAGACAAGTCGGTCTATCTTCGAGGGCGATTTGATTTGTAAGGATTAATATAAATCAGCAGATTCACTAAATAGCGTCGCTCTCTTCACGGCACGCCAGTCTCTCCATCAGTCTCTAGACAATTGTTCAGCCCTGTGTGCTTTCAAAGCCCGTGCCATCTTTAGTGTGTAGTAACCACATTCGCAGAGGGTGGCTCGCTTTCTTTTTCCGGACACTGGAACATCACCGCTCTCTCCAGGCCACCGTGACGCTTAACAAGCCCAAACTACCCCAGATTTCCGGACACTGGAACATCACCGCTCTCTCCAGGGAACCGTGACGTTTAGCAAACCCAAACTACCCCAGATTTCCGGACACTGGAACATTGCCGCGCTCCCCAGGCCACCGTGACGTTTAACAATCCGGGGCTACCCAAAATTTCCGGAAACTGGTACATCATCGCTCTCTTCAGGCCACCGTGACGTTTAACAATCCGGGGCTACCCAAAATTTCCGGAAACTGGTACATCACCGCTCTCTTCAGGCCACCGTGACGTTTAACAATCCGGGGCTACCCAAAATTTCCGGAAACTGGTACATCACCGCTCTCTTCAGGCCACCGTGACGCTTAACAATCCGGGGCTACCCAAAATTTCCGGAAACTGGTACATCATCGCTCTCTTCAGGCCACCGTGACGTTTAACAATCCGGGGCTACCCAAAATTTCCGGAAACTGGTACATCATCGCTCTCTTCAGGCCACCGTGACGTTTAACAAGCCCAAACTTCCCCAGATTTCGGGACAAGATGCTGTATATGAGCTAGTTCTCCTCGAAGTTCAGATCGTCTACCAGAGTGTTCTAAAAATTTCTCTGTAACATTCTATGTCAAATCCATAGATTGTATTTGTCTTCAGTAATTGGTTGTGTAGATTAGCATCTTGTATTTCTATGTAAAGTGCTACATGGTAATAACTGTTCAACACATCATCGAGTCTACAACACGCTTCGCTAGAAACAACCATCACAAGTGACTTTCCATGTTCTCTAGAAATCTCCAACGCAGCCCAAATTCTTTCTCGGTAACTTCCGTTACCTGGGTGCTGTCCTTTTCCCGCCAGACACGCACATATGTAAGCACTCAGGTCTTACCTTAGGGGCTGTCTGTCTCCACTTCCTGCATATTCTTATGTCTTTGCTGCGCCTTTCTTTGTTGGCGCTGTTCAGGTAACAAACCTTCTTTGTTTGTTTGCCTGAATTTGAATGTTTGATGTTCGTCATTTTGCCCCGATACAAAAAAATATCTTTATTTTAGACATGTGATGAATGTGTCATGTGCATTTAATAGTTTTGCTCTCTCTCTCTCTCTCTCTCTCTCTCTCTCTCTCTCTCTCTCTCTCTCTCTCTCTCTCTCTCTCTCTCTCTCTCTCTCTCACTCGCTCTCACTCGCTCTCTTTCTCTCTCTCTCTGGATGTTTGTGTATGTATGTGTGTGTGTACGTCTATGTATGCGTATGTGTGCTCCAATCATTAGCAAGCCTTGCCATTAGGTTAGTGTGATAGACATACATACCTATGTACAGACAACCAAGCAGGTAGATAACCAAGCATGTCGTGATAGGCCACTTAAGGTAGGGTTGGACTTTGCCTCCTGATCCCGTAAAAAAACGATCTCCACGAAAACCAATCAAAAGATAAAGAACTAATACACAGCAACAAAAGCCATGGTTGTGGAGGTCTCCGTCGTGTTTTCTTTATTGCGGCGCGCCTGGTTGAGGGCCTTTGCTCCAATGGGGGGAGAAAGGACAAGAGCAGAATATGTGTGAATGCCTGTGAGTAGATCTTTCTACTTCCTTATATAAGTGCCAATCAGTGCATTGTCTGTTTAAAACATATATTTTTACGAAGCATTGGTAACCTGGAAAAGGGGAATGGGGGGCCTCCGACATTCTCCCACCCCTCCCCCCCCCCCACTCACCCCGCACCCACTCAGCTTCCTGGCCATCTCTGAACAATTTTCTCAGGGCCATGTGTCCCCTATTCAAGTTTTAAAGTACTTGTAGATATTTTCTATATCATGTCAAATATATGTATATGCTTTTTTGCTATTCTGCTTATTATTAATATTGCACACTTAAACAAGGCGAATGCGCGTGGTCCTCTCCCTCCTTAAACCACCACCTTCCAAAATATTATGAGATTACTAAGGGCACCCACATGTTTTCTTTGTGTCAGTGCCTTTGTCTACATTCGTATACACAAGGCTGCTGATGTACCATTTCCCAGAATGCACATGTGTAGGGTGTTAGTAAACATCTTTAAATATATTTATTTCCCTGACGCAATTAACACATGCGTCAGGGGTAATTAACATTTCCGGTGTATGTTTAGATAAGAAATGCTTCTAAATGTTCCTGGGCAAAAATTGCCCGGAGTCCGGACACAGCGTTTACTCAGTTATGTATTTTTTAAATTTTCACCTGAAACTCCATTTCTAACGTATTTACGTGGAATTGCCAATTTAATTACTGCAGATAACGGAGACAAGACTGTAGACAGTTTGTCTAAAAAAAAAAACAATTTTGTTTAAAAATTATACACAGCCAGGTACACAAGATACGGATAGATAGCGCACCGACGGGTGGACAGACAGGCAGACAGACAGACAGACAGACTATTTTTAGGACGTATGTAAAAAACTCGCGGATTAGACAGGCAAAAAAGGTTGTTGCGTATCCTTTACAGGACGTTGCAGAACCAACCCTAACAGCCCCTGGCTGTTGTGTGGTTTCTCTAGGCAAATTACGTCCAGTAGTTTGCCATTGCTTCTGGACGGTCGGCTTTCTTGATACCACTGTCGAAACCAACGCAAGGCGCATTGCCCGCAGCTGGGATCGAACCCGGCATCTCGGCATTACGAAGCGAAGTGTTCGCATCGACTTAGCCACAGAGCCGACGGATTAGACAGACACAGACTAAATAGATGGACGGACCAACTGGCGGGAGGGCGGGCGACAGGTAGGCAAGCAGGCCGGCCGCCCGACCGACCGACCGACCGACCGACCGACCGACCGACCGACCGACCGACCGACCGACCGACCGACCGACCGACCGACCGACCGACCGACCGACCGACCGACCGACCGACCGACCGACCGACCGACCGACCGACCGACCGACCGACCGACTGACCGACCGACCGACAAACAGACCAGACCAGACCAGACCAGACAGACAGACCAGACAGACCAGACCGACCGACCAGACAGACAGACCAGACAGACCACATAGACCAGACAGACAGACAGATGGATGGATGTAGGAAAGTATGTAGGTGGGTAGGCAAAGCTCGTATGAGGAAAGACAGAAAGTACTATAGAAAAAAAAACTCAAGATAATGTTCTGTACCTCAGTCTGCGTTGGTGTCTATCAACTGGTTCACCTCAAACTGTTGTCATCTTTTATCTTTGGCTTGTCAGCGGAGATAGTTGAACGTCCATCATATTTGTAAAACTGGTTCATGTGTTCCCCTCCTGTGGTTCATGTGTTCCCCTCCTGTAGTTCATGTGTTCCTCTTCTGTGTCTGCCAGGTTCCCTGAAGTTCGCGGGAAGGAGGATACAGCTCCAGATTATAGACGCAGTCGAGGGGGTAAGTTGTTTCCCTGCTGGCTGTTTCCTTCCGGTTGTTTTACTGGTGGTTGTTTCCTCTTGGTTGTTTTGCAGTGGGCTGTTTCCTCTTTGTTGTCTTACTGTTTGTTGTTTTCCTTTGTTTGTTTTACTGTTTTTTGTTTCCTTTTGTTTGTTTTACTAATTTTTGTTTCCTCTTGTTTCTTTTACTGTTTGTTGTTTCCTTTTGTTTGTTTTACAGTTTTTTGTTTCCTTTTGGTTGTTTTACTATTTGTTGTTTCCTTTTGTTTGATTTACAGTTTTTTTTTCCTCTTGGTTGTTTTACTATTTGTTGTTTCCTTTTGTTTGTTTTACAGTTTTTTTGTTTCCTCTTGGTTGTTTTACTGGAGGGGGGGGGGACGAGGGGGGGGGGGGTTTCGTTTTCTATTGTTTGTTTTACCGTTGATTGTTTCCTCTTGGTTGTTTTACTGTTGGTTGTTTTCTCTTAGTTGTTTTATTGTTTGTTGTTTCCTCTTTTTTTTAATTGTTTGTTGTTTACTCTTTTTTTAACTGTTTGTTGTTTCCTCTTGGTTGTTTTTTTAAACTGTTTGTTGTTTCCTCTTTTTTTAACTGTTTGTTGTTTCCTCTTTTTTTTAACTGTTTGTTGTTTCCTCTTTTTTTTAACTGTTTGTTGTTTCCTCTTGGGTGTTTTTATTTTTTGACTGTTTGTTGTTTCCTTTTGGTTATTTCACCGTTGACTGGTCCCATAGTACAGGTATATATCGCGTACATACTACCGGGGTGTCTCGTGTACATCCCAGAATGACCCTCATGGTTTCATTCTGTATGCTTTCAATTTGTCTTTTTTCGAGGCACTAAAAAAGGAATGTTCAGCGGTGTCCTAACATAACACAGGCTTTGTAATGAGCTGTTGTCCAGAAGATTCAGTTGGAAAACTTAATGTTATGGCAGATCAGATCAGATCCTCGGTATTGGTTGTCTGGGGGGGGGGGGGGGGGGGGGGGGGGGGGGGGGGGGGGGGACCGATATGCCGACAGGCAGAGCACTGTTCTTCTTCAATTGCAGCTCTTAATGCGTGCTTTGTTCCAAACGTATTGATGTTGTTCCCTTGGAATGAGTAAAGTAGGAAATGTAAGGAAACCATGCTACATGGGCAGCACGGGGTCTCTACAACACTGCCCAGCCTTTGTGCTATGGAAAACTTTATCCTTGATCTTCAGTGATATCGCCATGCGCTATGATTTCCATGAAACAATGTCAGCCCAGACAAGAAGCAGGACTAGTCAGCTTCATAATAAGGCACTCACCTACCACAAAATTAACGTTGCGGCCAAAAGCCTTTATCAGCATATAACAAACGAAAATGTATACAAGTATAAACAAGAATACATAGAACGTAGCTTGACGGTGAGACCTGTGGCAAAATGTCCATCATGTTTGAGCAGTTGAGAGTCTGCGCTAGGGTAGGAGGAGACCAGCTTTGCGAACATTATGCTGGAAGTCGTGACAGTGACAACGAAAAAAAAAAAAATCTTCTTCGCAAAGAAGGCGATATCTTCTTATTCTTCTTAGCATTCAGCGGCTGTCAACTCCGTCGGAAAGTTTAGGTTGTTTATCCACGTCAGGCACATGCATTCTGGCTTCTAAGAAAACATTCCTATTGAGGCGACGCTTACGACATGCTTGTTAGGGATAGTGGTTTTTTTTTTTTTTTTTTTTTTTTTTTTTTTTTTTTAATATGTATATATATAATAGGGCACGAGAGCTCACAAAAGGAAGAAGTTGTGATAACCATTTATACGTAAAATACTGGTGTGAAAATAAATCATGTGAACTTTAACTTCATCTATTCTACTGACACAGAAGGAGAACCCCAAGTTCCGACACAGCCTCTACCCGGGAACCCACATCTTCGTGGTCTGTTTCTCCGTGGCCAAGCCGCTGTCCCTGCGCCACGTGGAGGAGGTCTGGTTGCCCGAGATCAGATCCTATGCGCCCAATGTGCCCTTCATCCTTGTCGGGGCACAAGCTGATTTAAGGTGAGTCCAATAAAGTAAAAAGAAAATGTAAAGATCTTTTTTCACGCCTTTAGGCGCATCGGGAATATGGGAAAAGCACCCATATTTTTACAGTCCAATCGGCGCTAGGTGGGTAATGTGGTCAGCATTACACCGGCTGTCTTTACTTCCCCAGGACATACACCCTGGTACCCATTTAAATAAATGTAAAGACGGTTTAAAAACTCTCTGATTCACACATGTAAGCAGCATTTTCAGAGTTTAGTCTCTCGCTGCCTCTCTTCCCCTCTACTTTCAAATTGCTAACATAAATACTTGTTTTATCCTGCTTCTGGTCATTCGAATGTATGTGAATTTTCTAATTATGAGGCAAGTATTCATCTCTATTTTTGAGGTAATTTCTAGCCAGACATTTTTCCGATGCAAGTTTTCGACTCTGTTTTTGCGGTAATTTCTGGCCAGACATTTTTCCGATGCAAATATTCGACTCTGTTTTTGAGGTAATTTCTTATCAGAAATTGTTACCTACCGTGTTATTCATATCATTCTTCCTTAAAACCATATTTCTGTAGTTTCTACGTTCTCATTCGCCCGCTGACTGTCCAGTGTTCACTTCTGTATCTCCGGATTCAACCTTTCTAATGCCGCGACCCTTTAATAGAGTTCCCCCATGTTGTTGCTACCCCCAGACAATTATTATACTTCATATCTTCAATGAATATGTCTTTCGATGGTCTTAGGCGACCCCTGTGATAGGGTCGTTCGACCCCAAAAAATGGTCGCGACCAGCAGGTTAAGAACCGCTGTTCTAATGGCTCTTGTCTGTTGTCGGCGTCCGCGTCTTTTGCGTTGCGAACCCGTTTCTTGATTTACTGATGCCAGGCTCTATCCAAGCTGCAGGCGATGTGGTAGAGGACCACCTTACCAGTATTCTCTTCTCAGTTAGCTGTATAATGGACAGCACTGTGGGACCAACAGGTTTGCACACACGCGCGCACACACACACACAGCGCTCACAGGTACATTGATGAACTACGTACTTATAGACGAAGCCTGTGCAGACGTTGGTTAAGTTGGTTATGTCCCCTGTCCTGAGGTATATAATGACCTACCCATGTCCGGCAAGTAAGTGGTAGTCATCGATGGCCAGGTTCTATTCACTTCTCACTCATGGACTGGGTGGCTTTTTCTCAAAGTATGTTATTGCATTGTCTTCCTGTTCACATTCCGCGGATTTAGCAAATTCTTTTCCGGATATACCACAGTCGGACGTCACCCACTCGAATACAGAATGACACCCACTCGATTACGGTACACGTTTGGGCAGCGACCTTACCAAGTTCAGATCCCAGGTGGGGGAGTTTACCACTCCTGAGGCCCTTAAGCACCGATAGCGCATCTAAGAAGATAACCTCTTGGTGGCAGTCGGAACTGGTGTTATCTAATCTAATTTCGGCTGCCTGCTCCAGTGCTGATGGAAAAAATTATAATAGAAGGCATGGTACCAGGAAGGAGGGGCAGGGGCCGACCGACACGAAGATGGGCACATGATATAAGTGACTTCTTGAGTGTGAAAGTGCATGAGGCGGGAGAACTGGCAAGAGACCAAGTTTCTTTCAAGCAGACCGTGATGAGGGCGACTTTCTGCAAAGGACCTGCTACATGATGATGCTCTAGTACTAGGATCTTTGCTGTGTAGTTGGAACAGGATCGACCAGTGGGTATAAACTTTGTATCGTAATGGTTGTCTGTAAATGTGATAAAGATATATGATGACGATTCTGACGAACATGATGAATTATGTAACTAAAGAGTTTTTCCATGTTTTGAAATCTGTGTCGTCCACAGATCAGTTGGTGTCATTCGAGAAATGCTTGCCTCTTGTGGTCAACGACCGGTAACAACAGCTGAAGCAGCCATGGTTGCCAGAAGAGTTGGTGCCGTCTGCTACATTGAAACTTCACCGGAAGTGGAGAAGAACGTCCGTAAACTCATCAACTCCGCCATTGCTTCCGTTCTGCGAGTCAGGGGTGGCGACTCTAGTTTATGCACAATATTGTAACATTAGCAATAGCCGTTCCTTCCATTTTCTCAGTCACCCTAGTGCATTTATCCAAAGCTATATTAACTCTTACATCAGTTCTGCTACGGTGTTTAGACAGAACTTCGTTGAAGCTGAAGAATATTGAAGGACAGTGCAGGACAATACATCCATGACATTAATCAGGGTTTCCTGGAGCATCACTGTTGCCTTCATCCGAATAAATAAAATGCTCTGAACTGGGGTGTGAATGAACACACATCTCCTCAACCACAGTGGACGGCAGGGTAAATCTATGTAGTACCTCATGTTGCTAGCGCATGATTATAGCCATGTTATAGCCATGTCAAACAGAGTATCTATGATCTGCAAACTTTCAGGTACCAGAAAAGGGAGGATAAACAGTTAGTCCAGGAACACAGAATGCGGCTATGACGCTCTGCAAATGGACCAACAAAAACAGCACTTTAAGTTATGAAGACAGTAGAATGTGAAGTTTGTTTCTCATTTATGTGGATTACTAATCTGTGGTATCATCTGATTTCTTTTCTTTAGCCACGTAGGCTTGTGTTGTACTTTGATAAGGAATTTTTGTCAAAACGCTTGTTATCTGTTTATTATTTTTGTTGCCAAGCTCTCTAATGGTATTTGGTGTTCATTCTTCATAACAGCTTTATAACAGACACACCCAGGCCTCGGTTTTTGTAACAGTAAGTAGTTCTAGTTCCCAGATACAACTGGTATAGATAGAAATGAAATTTAAACTGGCTTTTAATTATTATTATTATTATTATGTTATCTCAGCCGGACTCACTAGCTCAGTTGGTTAAAACCCTCTGCGCAGTTACCGGGTGATGAACTCCTTGTGGTCCGGGGGTAGGCAGAAAGGCCACATATCTCCCATAGTTACGGTATCTATAATGGAATCATGGCCGAAGGGTTGCGATATCCATAGTACTGAGCCAAAGGGTTAACAACCCATGGTTTCTGGATACTTAAAAAAAAATATGTTATCTGAACAAAGAAGACACAAACAATATAATTTATTGCCTGGCATTATTTCACGGTATTTGATCAAGTGCATACATCACCGACAGCTACTGGTACTATATGAATTTGAACTCTTGTGCTTACTGCTGAAGATGGGGGTGCAGCGCTTATGGAAATGTTTTAAGTGCTGTGATATTGATTCTTAATTCGGCATTCATGGTCTCACCACGGTAACTAGTAAATAAGATGAAGAAATTAAATGAATCTTTTACAAGTGAAGTAAAAACTCAACAACCAATTTTAAAAGCATCTGACAAGATACAGCCAAATATACCAGGCAATCAATTGTGCAATTTATGGTTTGCGTCTTTTGAGGTTCAAATTTACAACATTGTTTTCATATTATGTTATTCATAATATCCTGCACAGACGAGACGCACATTTTGTGTTGATAGTGGCTGGTGCTAGCGTGTTTTGAAAAAAAAAACATGTAGCTTGAATTAAACTTGGGTTCTTTATTAATATCCTACCCCAGATGACATCACAGGACAGTCCAATCTATTAGAGGGTGGTCAGACTGGGTTTCCTGGCTTTCTGATGCTTTTAACGACCCTGAAACAACTATAACTGGCCCTAACCCCAACCTACCTACGTCCCACGAGAAAGTGCAGACTAGGTCCCACGACTCCATGCAGCCTAGGTCCCACGACTCCATGCAGCCTAGGTCCCACGACTGCATGCAGCCTATCTTCCACCCCCTAAAACTTTAGACTGTCTCGTGACCTGTGGACTTCCCCTGTTTAGGGTAGAATAATAATAAAGCGCCAAAACTTGTTAAGCAATCCTGATATCACATTCACTGATACAATCATTGTACTATTGTCATCATGTTATGAACACTGACGTAGACATCATATTTGTGTAATTATGATATGAACAGTCAATATGGTACCTCATTATGCCAAGGTCACTAATATCTTCTATTGTGTTGTCATCATCATCCAGAAGCACCTTCTTCAACATTCACCACCACCACCACATTCATCATCATCCACCACCACTACAATCAACATCCACCACCACCACAATCAACATCCACCACCACCACAATCAACATCCACCACAATCAACATCCACCACCACAATCAACATCCACCACCACCACAATCAACATCCACCACCACAATCAACATCCACCACCACCACAATCAACATCCACCACCACCACAATCAACATCCACCACCACCACAATCAACATCCACCACAATCAACATCCACCACAATCAACATCCACCACCACAATCAACATCCACCACAATCAACATCCACCACCACAATCAACATCCACCACAATCAACATCCACCACTACAATCAACATCCACCATCACCACAATCAACATCCACCACCACCACAATCAACATCCACCACAATCAACATCCACCACCACAATCAACATCCACCACAATCAACATCCACCTCCACAATCAACATCCACCACCACCACAATCAACATCCACCACCACAATCAACATCCACCACCACCACAATCAACATCCACCACCACCACAGTAAACATCCACCACCACCACAGTAAACACCCACTAGCACCACAATCAACATCCACCACCACAATCATCATCCACCACCACAATCATCATTATCCACCATCATCACCCACCACCATCATCATCAACATCCACCACAAGCATACACTCATATTAAAAGCATAAGACAGCCATCAGAAGTGCTAACACAAACAGTTCGACATTAGAAATACAGTTCATCATCTATGGAAGCAGCAGTTACAAACTGACCAGCAGTTAGTTACACACACAATCAGTTTTTATTACATAAGGCACCACCAGTTCTGCGGACACAGGCCACACGCAATTTTCTGAATCTAGTTTACAACATTTTGCTGGTAACAATCAAAAAACATTCCAAAATACATCTGCAGTTCACAGTGTTGCACCTAGCAATTGGCTCAGTAGCTGGAAGACAAAACTATATCATTTAAGTCTATAAATGTACCGGCCACGGTCTATCAGCAGCAAAACAATTTGCCATGACTAAAAACAGTGACAGCTCTTATCGTCAATTTTGACCGGAACCAGTAGTTAAATGGCCATAGACCATGAGGCAGACCAAGAGTATAGTGGACAGATAGTGTTAAATAAGACCTAGAAACATCTGAAGTCACCAACTGAACAGAGAAGGCCAGTCACAGAGATGAATGGAGGCAGATAATATTTGCAACAATGAACCTCAAGGGCTCGGAATGCTGAAGATGAAGAAGACCTGCTGGTTAGAGAGCCTTGACTTCCACTATCATCACTAGACCAAGTGTGCGAAGAAAAAAGTGCACTTTTAAAATACTGATGCACAAAGAAACATCTCAGACAAAGCATATTTATTCCAAAACTGCTTTAGCCAGACATGGTCACTCACAACAAACTAGGAAAAAACATGGAAAGGAGAACGAACGAACGAACAAACAAATAATATTTTCAAAGGGTTACACATATAGAAATCTGAGAACGGCTGCAGAAGTGACCAGATGAGATAAAATCCCGAAAGAGGTCTTAAAATAAAAAGACCGTTCAGAACCTATTCTAAAAAAACCAAAGACTGCAAATCAAATGTTTGCCCATTTAGTGAGAATGCCTTTTGACGAAATACTACAAGGCATAAACCAAATTATGGGGAGGACGAGAGCATGAGGTAGACCAAGAACATTTTGGAAAGATAACATCAAAAAAAACTCTACATCAGTACAGTGTGTCTAGGACCTAGAGCATGAGGTAGACCAAGAACAAGATGGAAAGATAACATCAAAGAAACTCTACATCAGTACAGTGTGTCTAGGACGTAGAGCATGAGGTAGACCAAGAACATTTTAGAAAGATAACATAAAAAAAAACTCTACATCAGTACAGTGTGTCTAGGACCTAGAGCATGAGGTAGACCAAGAAAAATGTGGAAAGATAACATCAAAAAAACTCTACATCAGTACAGTGTGTCTAGGACGTAGAGCATGAGGTAGACCAAGAACAAGATGGAAAGATAACATCAAAGAAACTCTACATCAGTACAGTGTGTCTAGGACGTAGAGCATGAGGTAGACCAAGAACAAAATGGAAAGATAACAACAAAGAAGCTCTACATCAGTACAGTGTGTCTAGGACGTAGAGCATGAGGTAGACCAAGAACAAGATGGAAAGATAACATCAAAAAAACCTACATCAGTACAGTGTGTCTAGGACGTAGAGCATGAGGTAGACCAAGAACAAAATGGAAAGATAACATCAAAGAAACTCTACATCAGTACAGTGTGTCTAGGACGTAGAGCATGAGGTAGACCAAGAACAATATGGAAAGATAACATCAAAGAAACTCTACATCAGTACAGCGTGTCTAGGACGTAGAGCATGAGGTAGACCAAGAACAAGATGGAAAGATAACATCAAAGAAACTCTACATCAGTAAAGTGTGTCTAGGACGTAGAGCATGAGGTTGACCAAGAACAAGATGGAAAGATAACATCAAAGAAACTCTACATCAGTACAGTGTGTCTAGGACTGAGGCAGCTAAAAGAGCAAGGTGCTGAATCTCTCGTCTTCCTCGACGCCCTGGTAAAAGAGGAAGTAGAAAAAGAGAAGAAGATGCTTTCTTTTTGGATTACATTTTTACTGCTTGAAATATTTTTGACAGAACAAAACACACAATTATAACCTATCAGTATGATACTGTCATTAAGATACTTCATCTCTTGATTGTCATCCAAGCAATTTATGTGATACAATATTTATTTATCTGCCAAGAAACTCGGTATTAATGCAGATTTGCTTTCCAGTGTTGTGTGTATGTCCGTAACATGGAAGCTGTTTGCTGTGTATATCAATATTCATTCTTCCACATTTTTAATGTATATGTACACTATGTATGTACACTATGTGTGTACACATATACCGGCTACTCTCTCTCTAACCAAGGGAAGTCATTCGTGTTTATTATTCTTATACTCCTAG